TGCACTTATGACTTGTGGTATTGATGATTAGGAAAAAAAATGGATAATGGAAAAAAGTGAGTTTTTATTCGTAATTATAGAGTAAGAGATAATTCTGTAATTGTACTTATATTTGCTGCAAAGGAAATCGGAAACTTGTTTTCTCTTTCTGCAGTCTTTCTTTCTTTCTTTCTTTCTTTCTTTCTTTCTTTCTTTCTTTCTTTCTTTCTTTCTTTCTTTCTTTCTTTCTTTCTTTCTTTCTTTCTTTCTTTCCTCTATTAGTTTGTGTTAGTTTTTGTGTTCTTTGTAAAACTTTTAATAAAATGTATATTTAAAAAAGGAAAATATTGCTATTTGACTATATTCAGTTCAGACAGTTCCTGATATCATCTCCAAAATTGCAGAGTTTGATGTGCTGCATGAAAATCTGCGATTACGTAAGATCTGTGCCCAATCAGGTTATGCTGGATTTTCTTATGAAATCTTATAAACTGATACAGTTCAATTGTACAGACATAGGCATCTGGGATTTTGGAACCCAGTATCAATTTGACAATGCATATATCCTGGTCTTTACCTACTAAGAGTTGACTACTGCTTTGACATGTATATTAAGAGTTGTTATAAAGATGGATGTAGCTGCTCAATGATTTCTTACTGACATAAAAATTAGACTGAGGTCAGGAATGGAATATTGCAGTAGTGAACAAAACAATACAGTGAGATTTGTGCTTAGTATTTATTCTGCAATCACCTAATAAAGAAATGAAGAACCATCTTCTCTAAAACCTGAAGATCCTACTCAAGTAGTTAAATAACATATACTGATTTCATTTTTATTTGGAATTTTGTGAAAGTTCCTCACCATTTCTTTTTCAGTGAAAACCTCCTTGGTAAATTTGAATGCTTTGCTGTTTTGTTTTAAGAGAAAAATGCTTCATATCCCTCCATCCTACTCCATGAAAAAGGCACACTAGCTAAATTTTGCCCTTTGTTCTTAGACTATTATATATAGTTTTGTTAAACTCTTTTGTCTTCTAGGTTTCTTCCTTTTATTTTATTTGTATTTTATTATACCCAAGGTGAGACGAGTCCTCCACCAGAGGCCATAAAATAGTGCTTTGTTGTTTTACATCTAAGAATAATTGGATAAGATGAAAACACAAGTTGATCTTTATCAATAATTCATTTTAGGAGAACCTTGTAAAGAAAAATAATAACCAATAAGGATGAAATTTCATCACCCTTCTACTTCCTTAATAGACTAGAGACTCCATCTCCCATAAATTCTAGTAACCATGGTGATGGTCAGATATAACGGGCTCTCAGTTCCAATAATTTCTGGAAGTTCAGAAATTCCCCATCCATAATCTGGCTGGATCATAGATTTAGATTACTCACATATAACTGAGTATAAGACTGTAAACTGCAGAACCTCCATAGGAGATGGAGGTACATAAGTATTAAGCCTATGCAAATTGAGTTTGTTCTAATTCATCAAATCCATTTGAAAAATTGGATTGATCCAATTTGAATTACTGAATTGATTCAAATATCAAAATCAGTTTGAATAATCGATCAAACATATGAATTGGGTCAATTTGACTTGAAAGTTCAATTTAATTCTCTTCTAGATCAAATCAGGTAATTCGATCTGATTCAACACAAAGCCATCAAAGTTTGATTTAATTTACTGAAATAAATGCAATGAAGATTTGCACTGCCCTGACATATGTCCTGTCAAACATGAATGTCTGCCATGTGAAATATGACCAAACTATCTTTTTTTTTAAAAGAAAAAATATTTGATTTCTCTTGATATGTCAAAGACAATTGTTATAGCATGCTACATTGCAATTTCCTAATAGCATTTCTTGGTAAAAGGAAACTTTTTCAGCTTCAGCATGCTCCACTAATCTGTAATTTATGGCATAGGCTGTTCCCCACTTCACAATATCCTTTTAACTTTTAGTCAAACCTGCAATCTTTCCAATCATTATGGGTGTCAAATATATGCTTGTGTTAGCTGCATTTCACACATGAAAAGTCAGCTGTTCTCTCTTCTTGAATGATATATGACCATAATACAGGCACTCACTGTTTTTTCATTAAACCTATTTTTTAGGTAACTATTTTCAAATGTTGCAGTATGAAGCAAGGAAAGGAACCACTGCGTAATGGCGGCAGAAGAAATGAAGAGTTTAAAGAACCAGCAGGAATTGATAACAGCTTTGGTAAGAGTAAGCAGAGAAAGAAAACAGATTTTAAAACTGCATATATGCGTACCTTTATATCTTTATATACATGCAAGGGAATTAAAATATGTATTTGGAAATATATATATATATATATATATATGACATGACTAAAATATATATTTGGAAAGACTGCCAAATTACCAAAACATCAAGGAAAGAAAATGGATTGCCAACGTACACTGTTGTTTATTTTTCTGTCTTGTGTCTTTCCTATCTTTTAAAGCAGATGCAAACATCTGTTGAATTTGAATTTCCTGTTGATGGAAGGCTACATTAATAAATTATTATTTTCTTTCATAGATTTTTTTTAAGACATAACTGAGGTCAATGCTTTTTTTTTTTTTTTGCTGTTTTGCTTTGTTATTCTGAATTCTGATTTATCATCCATTGATAATTATTGGTTAACTTTTTAATCTATGTTTTATTAAATTTGTAAAAGATGTCATTGCCTTTATTTATGTAAGCTATTTTGATTATTTTCAGAAAAAAAGATGTAGAATTGAAGTTACACTTCTCTAAAATATATTGAATAAGGATTTATCATGCTCATGTTGCCATATTTTGATCTGAACTTCACAGAATTATTAACACAAACTTAGAATGATTCTTGTTTCTCAAAGATATATATGCTCTTCTTGGCTATATCCCCAACATTTAGAACCTATCAAGACATCAGGAGTTATGAATATTTCCTATCCCAACAAAAGGAGCAAGTTCAAGCAATTTGGTCAAATTTCCTCAAGCTTTCTTTCTATGACGTAAATGTCAGTTTTTCTTTTAAAAGCAAACAAATTAATATTATTGTATATGTGAGTCTTTCTAAACCTGGCTGCTAGTAAATTCTTGGAAAGGCAACAGGCTGGGGAAGCGTAATACAGATATTGGACAGATTTAATTAATTTAATTCACATAGTTTGTGGTAATATTTGAACAATACTGAATTCATAATCTGTATTTGGTGGTGCAGGCTCAGCTTAAGCACCAACATTGTTCTTTCCTAATGAAGTCACAGAGGCTATACTGACAGGTGCCTTAATTGTATCATCAGTGCGACAGTAAGATCATATTACAGTAACCCTACAAGGGTAAGTATCCTGAATGTGTGTCAGTGCACTGCATGTACTTTCTAGCTGGTGGGATACAGCCATAGTATCTTGGCTTGCAGGTAGTCTGTAGAATGGAGATCCCTATCCTGCACAGAATGAGTGAGCATGCTTGGGGTAAAACTGGATTTTGGTTGTGCTTGTGACATCCTGGCCAAACCGTCCATATGCAGGGAATGCTGCATGTGGCATGGGTATAGCAGAAGTTGATAACCTAGTTTATACGTTCTTTATCTTACCAAAAAGTATTTTGTGAATGCCTTAATTGTCCAAAGCCATGACAAATAATGGAGGTCAATATAAGTGGGCTTATCTAATGATGATTATGATATATGGAATACTGTGACATGGAATATAAGAGGAGTAGTAATGAAGAACACAAATTAATGAATGAAAGAGAAATAAATATGTTGTATTAGTGAATTCATAAAATGAAGGAAAGATACATGTTTATGATAGGGCTAAAATATATGTCAGAAAATATGAATTAGTGTAATCTAGGTTGTTGTATGTGCATGAAAGCAAGAATCCTTAAGTTTGTGATAGGTGTATGTTATGATTCAGAGAATGGTGATAATGGAAAAACCAGGGATAAGATTTTGGAAGAACCATACAACATTGTGAATAAATGTGATCCAAGGGAAAACATGATGCTGTTAGATGACATGAATGGGTGGGTTGAAACAAGATGAACCAGTACAGAAAAAGTTATTGGGCACTCTAGAGACCCAGGAACAAATGAATATAGTAACTGTAGGTGAGCATTTCCTTAGAATAAAAGTTCTGTTTGTAGGACAAATTACTATGTGGTAGTGTTAAAAATGGTTCTTGGGGAAAATGCACATAGCAGAAAAGGAAAGAAGTGAAAGAAACTGAAATGAAAGCAGAATAACTGCAAGAAGAAAAAACGTAAGTCTTCTACGAAAAAGTATTAGAAGTATTAAAAGGAAAATAAGACTGAGAAAGTCATGGTTTGATGGAAATGATGAAATCCTGACAAAGGAAAGTGAGAAGAAAAAAAACAATGAATAACTGTGTTATTGTTGCCTTAGTGCCTTAGTGAAATTTTTTTTTCCTCACAGATTTTTGTATTTTATTGTTTTAACATATGATTTTCAGATTAAGGTTTTTCTGGTTTAACTGATTGTTAGATAAGTTTAAGTTTTCATTTCTGGAAACATTTGAGTGTTTGTATTTTGACCATGGCTCAAGATCAAGTCCACCTTTTCATTATAAGTTTTCCCTTCTTCTTCTGATTTATGGACAAATCCCCCCCCCAAGGATAACAATACAGTGTATACTAAAAACAATAACAAAGCAAGATTAGTGTTAATAATATACAGCCATCATGGAAAACCAAACACCCTGCTACAGTAAGGATCAGGCCCAGGACTTTGTAATGGCAATCCTGAAGTAAATGAACTTTTCAGCAAAGTCAGCTAGGACAGCAGTTCACCCAAAAAGTTTTACTTAATCAGTGTTTCAGGCAACAGATTCACAACAAGTTTGTACAGATTGACATTCTAGATCCAGCTGAAGAAAGGCACTTGGCGTAGAATGAAGCAGTCATAGTAAGATTCTAATTGATTGGATGACATTGAGCTGCAACATGTCAGAGTAAACCCAAAACTGAGCAGCAAACTACTTTAGTATTAAATAAATGATGGCAGCAGGAATTGAAATGTTCCTGTTGCAATAGCAACTCTAAATATTGCATTGGTGACCTTTGGAACCTCATGAATTTGATATTTCCAGGAACTAGATGCCTAAGACTTTAAATACCTTTACCTGCTCAGTCGGAAAACCACGATTTTCTACTTTTGCAATATGGTTATTTTAAAATAAATTATTTCCAACCCCTCAGCATGGCAGTATTGAGCTAGGATCCAGAGGCTGTGATGAATTCCACCTTGTGGTAAAGAGAGAATAGTGGTGTTATCAGTATAAAAAGGCACGGAGACTTCATCATAGGTTAGGAAAGTAGGGCAAAATTCCTGCCTAGACAGGGCTTGAAAGATTCCACTGACATAAAAGGGAGGCAAAAACACATCCTTGCATGACACCATGTTGTGTGGGATTTGAAGAAGTAAGTGCACCATTGGTAGTCACATTTAACTGGCACTGAGATATCATAAAGAAGCATTATGATTAGCAGCCACAGAAGGCACAGATCAATAGAAAAAGCGATTAATTTCTAGCATAACAGCTCATATAAGATTGAATCTAAGGGCTCCTTTGAGTCAGTGAAGATGACATAAAGGATCCCATGAGGGCAGCTGGAATATTTCTAAGCCAATTGTGAGATGATTCTTGACCAGAAATTGAAAATTCTTCCCTAAAGCTGGCTTGTTCCACAGCTAAGACATTTTTATTGAATCATCTAGCCCAGTGTTTCTCAACCTTGGCCACTTCAAGATGTGTGGACTTCAAGATGTGTGGACCCCAGCATGCTGGCTGGGGAATTCTGGGAGCTGAAGTCTACACATCTTGAAGTGGCCAAGGTTGAGTAACACTGTTCTAGTCCATCAGCTTCACATAGAGATGCCTAGAATATAATTTGCTTGTTATACTTACTAAGTTAATCAGGCAGCAATTTTCTGGCTTGGACCTGCCTGCTTCCTTGAACATTGGAAAGATCACAGAACATTTCTGATGCCTTCTATATTTGTAAATAAAAATGCCAGTGTAGGGGACCAGCACTTTGAATCTGATTTTAAGAGTTATTCCAGAATGAAGTCATCCCCAGCTACTTTACCCTTTTGGGTGGAAGTCTGGAAGTAGGTCATTCAATGGCAGATAGTAAGCTGAATGTTGCATGGAAATAGATAATAATTAATTGCCAATTGTTCTGTACATCTAAAGCTAATCTAGGGACTGATTTGTTCACTAAACACCAAAAAAGCAGCAGAGTCACATCAATTTTCCCACTTTGCCCTCTGCCACAGCAGTTTCTTCCACCCCAGAATGGACTTACATTCTGTTTACCAAGAGCAGAAAATCTCATACAAGTGATGATAATTTTGATGCTTAGCCATTCTTAATGCATCCACTAACATGGCCTTAGCTAAGATGCATCCATTAGGAAACCAGCTTTCAGAAACTTGTTACTAGGATTACCACGTATAGGGGTAGAACTAAAGTTGATCTTAAATGAGTTTCAGTGATAGGTGGTAGGCATTTAACACTTCATGTGCATAAATGGCTGATGGACCATTTGAGGTATGGGACTTTGAGTGAAGTTAAAAGGTGGAGTACCAAGAGGCCACCCAAACTACATCATCTGGAGAAAGTGCAGCCAGTTACAAAGGTGAATGAGAATATGGGAGTTGTTTTCTAACATATCTAAAAGCTAGTTTATAATTGTCAGTGGTTATTCTATATCTTTCCAACTTGTACCTGCAGATACAAATTATTAAACCTAAGGAGTTTGCGTAAAGAGAGCTATAGAAAGGTATTTGCTGGCACACCCACAGCAACATTTGCCACAAACTGCAATGACATCAGAATGATAACATACTTGCAGTGACATCATTATGCAAACTCTGCCATTACTTGTGTCTCACAACATTTGTGTGGTGATGTAGTCACATGCATTTTGTCATTTGCCTGCCCAGATATCTATGCATGCACATAACCTTATTCTACACAAAAATACACTAAATGGAAAGGCAATTTTATCTTACATTTATACTGATTACTTGGATTAATTGGCCAGATCAAAAGAGCAAAGCAGGTCACAATAGAAAACACCTGTATACCTGATGCTCAGCATCTGCTACTTGAGACCAGCACAGCTGCTTTGCCACTGAGCTATAATCCTTCTCTGCAATTTGCTATATTTATCCTGTATTTTGACTTTGGCTAATAGGTACAAGCTTAGCTACATCATCATGTAGTAGTTAAAACTCATGTTAATTTATGCCAGAATGAAGAACTCTAGCCACGCTCTGATTCCAGCTTTTGATGTCACTGATGCTGCTTTTAAGATCAGTACAATAAACACATGCATTTTAATAAGAGTTGAATAAGAGAACAAGCAGATCATGATTAGAACTTCTATTAAAGTTTAAGAAAATTGGGGTGTTCAGACACAGGATAGTGAAGTTCACTGTTGATCACAATTTCTTTCATTTATTTATTGTTGATTTCTTCATTTGTGACTTGTGTGTGATATTTCATCACAAAAATCCTCTGGCAGTTTACTGTAGAATAAATTTAGCTCTGAATAAGAACATGGTCACATTGAATTAGTTCTCATATAACACTCAGCCATTATAGTTTGTTTATTTTTGGATTAAAGTGATGTGTAAATCCATTCATTATAGTTTAGCGCAGGAATCGTTCAGTATGGTTTTCAACAAGTCTAGAGTTATCACGTCTGGAGTACAAAACTCTGGATGACCAGTAGATAGCAGCAAATTCTTACAGGGTTTTGCAACCCATGTACAGTAGTGCTAAATAACCCATAGTAAAAAATCTTGACTCAGAATTATATGTTGATATTGGGTTGTTTACTGATTGGTCTTACATATGAGTAAACATGCAGTACAGTGCTTATAAGCAAACTTAAAGGCAACAGTTTGGCAATTCCTATCCATTTCAAATCCATTATTTGTGAAATTTGAAACCTAAAGGGGAAAAAGCAATAAGAGACAACTGTTTCCTTGTAAATATTACCAGCAAAAGAACATTCTTCTGTAGCAAACTTATCTTAAAACATTTATGGAATAACACTTAAATAATGCCATTGAAAAACACTACTTGGATACATTATTTTTTTGTTTATCAAGTGATATACAGCATACATATCTCTTGGAATGTTGGCAATATACAGCATTCTTTTTTAAAAAAAAAAATCAGAGTCCCTTTTGTTTTCAGAATCAACTTCTCAGCATTTTGAGGCCCTCTGCTTTTCAAAGTAATCTCAATTTAGTTCCACATACTATTTTTTAAAAAGAAACTTAATCAAGAAATGCAGAGAGTTCAGAGTCCTAATTGTTCGTGTGTTTCCATCACTGAGTAAAATAAATTGCTTCCCAGGGACCTGCCAACATATGTAAATGCTTACTGCCAATTCATCCCAGACCAAGCTAATCCACAAAGGTATCTTATCTCACAGACTTTGCTAATGTGATCTGGTGGGTAGTTCCAAGAAGTCTCAGGGACCTTTTATGCCTCCTCAGAGAACACATTCCATTGGCTGGCCCTGTCCAGATTATCTGCAGCGAAAGCTCCAACTGGCTCTTTGGCAAGTAGAGAAGTGAGCAGTACCTACTGAGGTTGTCATGTTCACAGCTGGCGGGCTGAGGCCTGCATGTCTTTGGGAGATGAAAAACAACATGAGAAACAGAAATGCTGAATGGCGCTGCAGGATTGCTTCTA